CGGGGGTGCCGGAGGGGCTGTGTCTCCATCTCTCCCTGGTTTTTTTCCTCCTTTGCCTTTCTGATGACCCCTCTTTCCTTCGCCCACCACCTGGTGCCTGGGCCTTACACATACGCACGTGTACACACGATCACACATAGGCATTCAGGTAACCCGCCTTTAGCTCCCTTTCCCATCTCTCTGTCTTCAACACCCTGTTCTCGGGAGGAGGCGTTTATCAAGACAGTTTTCTCCCGATAGCCCAGGTTCTTCTGGGCTCCCGGCACCACCAGCACAGCAGTTTTGGTAGTGGAGGTGAAAGAGCAGCTCTGACAACCTGGGTGAGCTGAGAGACTCTATGTGAGCGTGTGCATGTAGATGTGTGCCTGTATGTATGTATTTATGTGTGTGTGTGCATATGCACATGTGAATACATGTGTGTTAGGGACACTCCTACCTGTTTGGGGTTGGGGAGAGCATTGGGGCCAAAGATGGCATAGGAAGAGGGTACTGTGTGATGACCACATGTTCCTGAAGGTTCTCTGCTCACCAGATGCCCACTCTGGAAGACATCCCACACTCCCCAAGCCAAAGGACAGATGGTTTGAGCTAACTCATTGGTTACCTACTGGTGACAGTGGCATTTCACGGGCTGGTTCAGAGTTCAGGTCTGGCACCCGACACTGAGAGGGTCCAGGCTTCAGTGGGACTGGTGAGCAGAGGAGAGAGCTGACTCAGGAGCTGGGAGATCGAGATTGTCCCTAGTGACCCTAGGTGGGTGACTGACCTCTCTATAACATTGGGGCTTGGTTGAATTAATTGGATGAGCCTCTTAACCTCTCTGCACTTGCATTTCTCCATCTTTCAAAATGCAGAGGTGAGGATTAAAGGAAAGCTGGAGGGGAAAGTGATTCTATTCATCGCTCACACCTCTCCTTTGTTGACATGTAATGATGTTGCCGCACTTCCCATGGAGTTGATCTTGTCAGTTCCCACTATTCCTTCTCCCCCTCCCCCACAGTCATCTCATCTCAGATTCAGAAACTTTCCCACTCAGAAGAAACCTTACTGATTATGGATCCAATCCCAGGATTTTTTTTTTTTTCATAGAGACAGGGTCTTGCTCCGTTGTGAGTGGAGTGCAGTGGCACAATGATAGCTCACTGTAACCTCAAACTCCTGGGCTCAAGTGATCCTCCCACCTTGGCCTCCTAACAACCACTGGATTTTACAGATGGGTTTCTCCAGCTAGGGCTGGGCCCTGTCCTGGGTCACACAGCCCACTGGGGTCAGAGTCAGGGCTAGAGCCCACATTTCTTATCAGCCAGTTGAGATATGACCCTGTCTCATAACACCTCCGTGTTCCTCACCAAACTTTGCTGTCTCCATCCGTGGGACAGCTGGTAGTGAGGACTCCAGCTGATGCCAGAGTCAGTGCCTGGCTGAGAGCTGGGCACCTAAGACTATTCAGCAAACAATGGGGCCTAAGAGTGTCTCTGAGGAGTTTTTTGAGACTTTAATATTATTATGCATAAGTTAGAAGCCTACAGTCCATCTGGTAATCAGAAGTGAATTTTGCTTTCATGGCTGGAGGAAAAGCTATAGTTGGTTGACTACAGGGCTAGACTTGATTTACCTCTCAGTCAACTATGGCCAATGTTTATTTGTCATGGGATCTGATATAAAATGCTAGTGTATTGGCTGGGTGCAGTGGCTCAAGCCTGTAATTCTAGCACTTTTGAAGGCCGAGGTGGGAGGATTGCTTGAAGTTAGAAGTTCAAGACCAGCCTGAGCAAGAGCCAAACCCTGTCTCTATAGAAAAATAGAAAAATAAGTTGGATGTGGTGGCTCATGCCTGTAGTCCCAGCTACTTGGGAGGCTGAGGCAGGAGGATCACTTGATCCCAGGAATTTGAGCTTGCAGTGAGCTATGATGAGGCCACTACTCTCATGCATGGCCAACAGAGTGAGACTCTATCTCCAAAAAGTTAAAAATAAAAAAAAAATAAAAATTCTAGTGTATTATAGAAGTGGCTAAGGCATAGTAATTAATACATTTCACTTGTCTATTCATTGATTCAACAAACATCTTTTATGCCTACTGTATGGCAGGCACTGTGCTAGGCTTGGGAAGGAATACTGAGGTATTTAAGATACAGTATACCCCTGTTCTCAAGGAGATTTTGTGCCGTGGGGAGCACAAACATGCACAAAAGTGAGATGAGATGACGGCCAGAGGAAGGAGGGGCTACCTGTCTCTGAGAGTCCAGGAAGGCTTCTAGAAGTGAAATTTGAGTTGAATTGTGAAGGATGAAGAGGGATTCATAGGTGAAAGGTGGGAATAGTCTTCCACACAGAGAGCAGCATGTGCAAAGGTCTAGAGACATGAAAACTTCCACAATACATGGAAATAGAAGCTTGGTATAGAAAGGAGAGTTGGATATGAGCTGACAGCAGAGGCCAAGGCCAGTGTCAGGGGGAGATGAGGCTGGAAAATAATCAAAGGCCAACTGGTTTGTGCCTGCAACTCTGTTTTTATTTAGAAGACACAAAGCATCTATTACGTGCCAGGCATTGTTATAAGTGCCTTACGAATATTAAGTCATTTAATCTTCATAACAACCCAATTATTATCCCCATTTTTCAGGGGAAACAAAGGCATAGAGACTTGCCCAAAATCACTCAGCTGGCGACAGGGATGAGATTGGAACTGAGACACATGAAAAGTGTGATTCTGGCACAAATGTTGTCATGTTTTTATTCATTCCATAAATGTTCTCTATGTGCCTCATAGGCACTGGGAATAAAATGGCTCATAGAACTTGATGTGACTCTCCTAGAGTTTAATGTCCACCCAGGAAGATGGATGATTAACTAATTAATTCAATAAAGTCAGCCAGAGGTTCTCACACTCCATGCCTACCTTCAGCTTGGCCAAACCTGAGCACCTGGTAGTGATGTCCCAGGTGCTAGGGCCAGGGTCAGGCCCCTCAGACCCCAGGTCTTGGCAATGATTTGGCATCTTGTGAGGGTCTCTTCCATGCGGGCTGAGCTCTCACCCAGCCTTCTGCCAAATAAGCCAAGCGCCTTGGCTTCCCGGGGAGTCCCTGGCCCAGCGCAGGTGGCAAGTGCCCAGAAATACACAGTCCAGTAAAGGCTGCAGTAGGAATGAAGCCAGCATTGCAGTGGACACAAACAACAGTGTGGTCAAGGAGGCAATATTGAAACTAAGCCCCAGAAAATGTCCTGAATTTTTCTGGCAGACAAGGAAGTGGAGTTGGAGCAGGGGATGAATGGCATTCTGAGGGGACAAGACCCGGCCTGAGTGTCATGCAAAGAAGCTGGCCCTTCTCATGGAATCACTGGGGAACTACAGCATGGTTTGGAACAGGAAAGTTAGCTATCCAATTTGCATTTTAGAAAGATATCTCTGGCAGCTCTTTGGTAGGTTGATTAGAGAGGAACTCTCTTAGATGCCAGGAAATAAGCAAGAACCACGGTGACAACAGCTGGCATACAGTAGAAGGGACGGGATTTAATCAATATTCAAGAGGTAGCATGAATAGGATGTATCCACCAATGACGTAGACTGCTATCCTTACACCAATAACCATTGCCCTTCTTTGTTTATTAATTGTTTTAGCTGCATACATGGCTAGAGACTACATATCCCAGCCTTCCTTGCAACTGCCCAACTTCTGAGCAGTGGTGTCCTTGATCAGGAAAGAACTTGTGCTTCTCACCCACGCCATTTTCCAATGGGTGAGATTCAGATGTGATGGTGATTGCTGCTTGGGCTATGCTGGACAGAGATGGAAGCCTTTTTTTTTTTTTTTTTTTTTTTTTTTGAGATGGAGTCTCACTCTGTCGCTCTGGCTAGAGTGCAGTGGCGTCATCACAGCTCCCTGCAACCTCAAATTCCTAGGCTCAAGCGATCCTCCTGCCTTGGCCTCCCCAGAGTGCTAGGATTACAGGTGTGAGCCACGGCGCCTGGCTTGGAAGCCACATGTCGAAGATGGCAGGGATGCCCCACAGTCTTGGAGTATCTATTTTGGGGTTGTTGCTTAAGTCACTAAATTTTGGGGATTCTTTGTTATAGCAGCTTTGAGTATACCTTAATTGCTGACCATCCTTTGGCTTTGGGGAATGAGGGAGTGCAAAGTCTCTGGGTGGATGGTGGTGCCACTAACTGGGCCAAGAGATCCAGGGAAGGGATAAGGCTGGGCAGTGTGGGGTGTGGGGAAAGATGATTAATTTAGTTTTGAATATGTTGGGTGTGAGATGTCTGTGAACAGCAGTGTGTAGTAAATGTTTTAACAACCATGGAGGGGGAAGCCCTGATCTAAAGCATTTGCCAATTTGTATGATGTAAATACTCCCACCATGGATGAATTCAAATTACCACTATCAACATGACTTTGCTGAGTGAGGAGTTGGGAAGAGAGGTGCACAATGGGCTCCTGTGAGCTGGCACGAGCTGACACCAGCACAGTACTGTCCCTGAGCATCCAAGTGGAGATACTCCATCTGCAGTTGGACAGGAACCATGTCTGCACATGGGGAAGTGACATCTGGGCTGGAGATAGAGGTTGGAGAGTTATGAGCCATTAGGGTGTAAAGTCACAGTAGTGGATAAAGTCACTGACGAATAATGTGAAGAGAAGAGGAGGCCAAAGTGTCAGCATTCTGGAAAAAACAACAGAGGTTCCTTGTTTTGTTTTTTTACAGAATGCCCCAAGGAGGAGGACAGGCCAAGAGAGAACAGTTAGAGGAAGGAGGACCTGGGACCCATCAGAGCCATGTCTTCCACTTGTGCTCCCGGGCTTCTACTTTCTCAGACAAGTTAGTCACCCATTGGTCATCCCCACCACCTCCCTCTCTCCTACTGTCCTTCCCATTATCATCTAAGCAAGCTCCTAGAACCAAATATCTGGCAATGGTTCCTCTAAGGGACCTTGGAGATAGTCCTTTCTGATGTATGTTCATGTGTCAGACCTTGTGCTGTCACCAATCTAGGATCGAAACAGGTATGCACAGTGCCTTTGGAAAGCCCCAGAGCGCTGTGGCCAGGCTTCACATTGACCAAGTCATCATGTCCATTCGCACTAAACTGCAGAACAAGGAGCATATGATTGAGGCCCTGCACAAGGCCAAGTTCAAGGTCCCTGGCCACCAGAAGATCCACATCTCAAAGAAGTGGGGCTTTACCAAGTTTAATGCAAATGAGTTTGAAGACATGGTGGCTAAGAAGTGGTCCATCCCAGATGGCTGTGGGGTGAAATACATCCCCAATCGTGGCCCTCTGGACAAGTGGCAGGCCCTGTGCTCATGAGGGCTTCCTCTGTGCTGCCCCTCCTTACTCATACCCACCAATAAATCCTACTTCCTGTCCACCAAAAACACCCCAAAAAACCCTCCCAGATATCTGGACTCTACATTCTCTTCCACTGTTGTCCCAGCTTTCTATACCCTGCTCCCAAGCCAAGATTCCCCAAACCCTGGCCACTTTTGCTATCTTCATTGCCTCATTTCTTACTCACCAGCAGCTCACTGCAAGCAGACTCCTGGCCTGAGCAACCACTGCAAATGCTCTGGACAAAGTTACCAGTGGCCTCCACGGTATCCAATCCTTTGCACACTTCTCAGCCCAGTCCTGCTTCATCTCTCTGCAGCATTCAACACAGCTTACCATTTCCTCTCTGGAACACTCTTTTCTATTGGGTTCCAGAACTCCTCATTCTCCTATTTTTCTTCTTAGCTCTCTGGCTTCTCCTTTGGCAGCTTGTTCTCCAGCCGACCTCTAAATGTTGGAGTTCCTCAGAGCTTGGTCTTAGGCCATCTCATCTTTTCGCTAAGCCTCTTTATGACTTCATCTGCTCGAATGTGCCACTCGCTCTCGGGGCTCCATTCCAACCCAGATTTCTCTGCTGAGACCCAGACCTGCTTCTATAGCTGCCTATTGAACATTTCTCCTGGCACTTCCTGGGCACCTCAAACCGAAAACTGTCAAATCTAAAACTCTTGATCTTCCCCCCAAAATGTAACCCCACTCCGATGTTCTGTTCCCAGTAAACGGCACCTCTAGGCCACCAGCATGAATTGTTATTTCAGTGCCCATCTACCTACCATCTGTGCTCTCTGTAGATGGTAAGTTCGCTGCAGGCTGAGAGGCTGCACCTGTTGTTCACAGTTGTATCCTCATTGCCTAGGATGGTGCCTGATACATCACTGGGGCTCAGTAAACATTAGCTGAATGAGCTAAAACAGGAAAACATATTATCACCGAAACCAAAGTGAGAGGAAGCAGCATCAGATGCCCTATAGAGATTGACAAAATTGGGTTCTAGTCCTCAGCTGCTAGTTTTTTAAGTGACTTTAGGGAAGTCACTGTGCCAGTCTGTAGATTGAGGAAATTGAAGTAAATTATCTATGAGGGCCCTTCCAAAGTCTAACATCTAATTGACATCTATTATCTATTGCTAATATGTCATTGAATTAGTAGGTGCACATACATAGAATTTGTGCATAACTAAGAATGTGACTGTTTTTCTTATTTTCTTTAAAAAATTATGCTTTTCAAAAATATTTGTACCGCCTTTAACAGGGACTAAATGAATAGCGTGTTTTGGTACTTTTAAATTGCAAGGAATCAATGGAGGCTATTCGTTGACTTGAAATTTCTAAAGCATTTTCACATTCTATGGTATCACAACAGTCCAAGAGATTTGCAGGGCAGATGGCCGTCAACACTCCCATTTAACAGGTGTGGAAACGGAAGCAGGCCTATGCTTACATTCTTGTCCCATTATTGGAATGGTCCCCAGGGGGATTCCATCTAGAAGCTGGTATAGATGTACTGTAATCGCACAGCAAAATCGTTAAGGCTGTCTGGGTTCATATCTTAACTCTGCAGCCTTCGGTCTATTTCCACTGCTAGAAAAGGGGTAGTGCTAGTACTTCACAATGTTGTGAGGATTAAATAACGTAAGTATGGAACTCAATAAATGAGTTGCTATTGTGGTGGCATGCGACCCTGTAATGGGGTCTATAAAAACCTGGGCAACGCTAAGGAACTGTCTAGGCAGGGCTCTTATGGCATTCCCAGGGGTCAGCACCAGCCCTCACCCACCCCTGCTCAGGGGACGATCGGAATCGCTGTTCTTTCCTTCTGCTACCTCGAGGCGGGCTCTGTCCTCAGCGGTCCAGATTTCTCAGGCTCCGCCCCCTGAAGAGGGGCGGGGCCTATCCAGGGCAGGGGCGTGGTCCAACCGAGAACTGGGCCGTCGAGCTCCCCTTCCCAGTCTGGATCCACCCAATCCGGGAGGGGCTGGAGGTCTATCACGTGACCAGAGAGCCGTCTCACCCTCCCCTATGCGTGTACCACCTCTGCCGGCCCCAGGGGGACGCCTTACTCCTTTTTGGGAGCAAACCATTTTTTTTTGGTCCCATTTGCGTCGAAATAGTGTGTCGTACTACCTTAGTTGTGACTGAGTCAGTCTTTGCCCCTTAAGTGGTGTTTTCTCTTCTGGCCTCCCCCCAGTAAGTAGTTGGTATCGTCCAGCCGGGCCCTGGGCGCGGCGGCGACGGCCGCGTCACTGGCGGGCGGGATCCCTCCGCTCTGGGGAGAGCAGCGCTGGACGGTTGAGTTGGGGTGACTGAGGAAATCCATCCGCGTCGCTGCTGCTGCCGCCTCCGCCGCGGAGGAAGACAGGACCTCCCGCGCTCCTCTAGCGACCCCTTCGCAGAGTCCCACCGCCACAGGTACCTCCGCTGACAAAAGGAGTCCTTATGCCCCCCAGCCCCAAATTCCCATGGGGGAACCTCTATTCCTTCTGTCTCCCCGGTCTGGCCTCTTGGGAACGGACGTAACTCCCCAGACCTCCCCTCCCTTCCTTCGGCCCCGTCGCTTCCAAACCCGGAAGGGGAACTGGGGGACCCCTTTCCCCATTAATGCATGCGCTCCCCGCACCATCAGCGGCATTTTGCCTGACCCCAGACCCCATCCCAGCCCCGCCTGCCTCTTGCTCCCTTAGAAGTTGGGGGGCTCAATTCCGGGCTTCCTCTAGGCCCCGTCCCGCCCCCTTTCCCCACCACCACCCTCCCGACTGTCCCAGGTGGCACCCCTCGTGTCCCCCTGCTTCGCACCCCTGCCGGCATTCGCCTTGCAAAACTGCAGAATCTGGGGAGAAACAGGCAAGGCCGCGAGCCACCCTTCGCTTCGTCTCCACCCTACCCCGATTGGGGTTCTGCCCGTGGTTTGTGGCCCCCTACCCGATACCGGAGACTTCGTCACCCTATTCCTCCTTTACAGGTCCTAACCCCAAGCCTAGCTTCCAGGTGTCTGTCTCCCGCCCAGCTTTCTTTTGGGCAAAATGGAGGTCGTGGGGGCTGGAGGGCCAGGCCCACTGCGCTTCGCAGCGCGGCACTAGCCCGCGCCTTCCAGCTGCCAGATCCGGGGACCCTCCCCTGTCTCCTCCTCTTCGCCCCAGCAGACCTGCGAAAATGGTGGCACCCCCATTTCTCTATGAGGCCCTGGCTGCTGTATCCCCCAAATTCGGGGGCTGCTGAGGGGGCCCTGGAGGGTGATGGGAACTGAGGCTGGGAGTGTCGCCCCCACCCCCAGCGGCTTCCTCCTGGCCTGCTTCCTTCTGCCCCGGGCCTCTGGCGTTGCCGCCCGGCCTGGGCTGCTGGCAGCTGGAAGGGAGGCGCTTTGTCCGGACCTGGGGGTGAGGTGGGGTAATGTAGGGATTTCTGTCCCTTTGCCCCCGTTTTCGAGGGGCATCCCCTGGCACTGGCGTAGAAAGCTGAACTCAAGGGGAAATGTCAGTGGGGAAGAGGAACGCCCAGTGCCTGTGGGGAAGTGGGAGCTGGGTGGGGGACGCCTGGGTCGGCAGAGTGCGGTGTGCACGGCTAGATCACACAGGTGTCCAAGGGGGGGCAGGACTTCGGCCCGGGAGGAGCCAGCCAGGCCCGAGGATGGGCCCCTGGGGTGCCGAGGGCGCAGGGGCCGGGCCGCCTGGGGCTGCCGGCTGACGCCTGGGACAGAGCAGCTCCGCGCCTCTGGGCCGGGGACCTCTCTTCGGAGCCCTAATTACTCGAGAGCGGCTCCCACGGGCCTTCTGCGGGCGCGGCGGGCGGGCGGCCTCGGCGCTGGAGGGAGCAGCGGTTTGGGGCTGCCTTCCCCGCCACTCTCGCCCCCACCCACGGTGGACGGCTAATGGGGCGCAGCCGGTCTGGGGATTATCCGGGGTGAGCCGTCCCGAACCTATTAGTGCCCAATCGGCTTTTCCCAAATCCTGTAAACAGCCACCCTGGCCTGTTCTGGGGAGGGGTGGGAGGCAGGGTCGGGCGGGGGCGATGGGTCCGGGGGTGGGGTCACCCACCCTACAGGTCTCTGCCGTGGATGCGGTTGCCTTGACAACGGGGCTAGGGTGGGGGCACTTCACCAATGAGGTGCTCTCAGTCCGGGTGACGGTTGCCTAGGCAACCCCACGAACAGCCCAGCTTTCCCCTCTGGTCTCCCCCCACCGTGGAAGCTGGGGGTGTGTGTGGAGGGTGTGCGGCGTGTGGGGTGAATTTAAAGAGGCACCGCCCCTTTTAAAATTAGGTGCTTGGAGGGTGGTGCCTGTGCGGGCTGGGGCGGGCGCCAGGTCTGTTTTCGAAGGGACTCCCCCCCAACCAGTTCCTGCCTCGGGTGTCCCGCCCGGGCTGCTGTCCGAGGGGGGAGGGGTTTCCCCTGCGCTTCCTCTTGCACTTCCCGCTCCGTTTCCGGGGGGCGGGAGGAAGATTGGGGAAGTCGGCTAGTCCTGGGCCTACACCTCGGCAACACCTCTCTGGTGCCAGAGACCCCGGTTCTGCCCCGGCGAACTCGGCCACCGCTGCCGCTCCCTCCCCCCTTCGGTGCTTACCCCTTCCGGGCCGAACATCAACCCCGCCTTTCCCCCTTCTTCCCTGGCGGCCTTGGGGCCTGACGTCAGCCCTGCATCCCCCAGGCCTCGGGCCAGCGGCCAGGAGCTGCCTCCCCCAGCCCCCGTCCCGCGGCCCCCAGCCGCCCCCAGCCCCGCCCCACGGGCCCGGCGCCATGAGTGAGCTGGAGCAACTGAGACAGGAGGCCGAGCAGCTCCGGAATCAGATCCGGGTGAGGGCCTGGCCGGCTGGGTTGGGGAGGCCAAGCGGGCAGGGCTGGGTGGCTTATGTGTACTGCTGCCCAGCGCCCTGGAGTGGGCGGGGTCGGGTTTTTGGGGTGGGGGAGGGCGGGCCCCCTCATCTCTCAGTGTCTCAACGTCTCCACTCCTGTCTCCTGTTTCCCTCCCTCTCCTCTCCCACCTGTCTTCTCTCCTGCTTCTCTCTGCCTGGCTCTGCCATCTCTTACAGGACGCCCGAAAAGCATGTGGGGATTCAACACTGACCCAGGTGAGATGAATCCCAGGCAGGACTGGAGGCGTGGGCGGGTGAGGTTGCAGGCGTGCTGCTCAGTGGGGTCCTGCTGCCTCCCTGAGCTCATTCTGCCTCCACCTCCAGATCACAGCTGGGCTGGACCCAGTGGGGAGAATCCAGATGAGGACACGGAGGACCCTCCGTGGGCACCTGGCAAAAATCTATGCCATGCATTGGGGGACAGACTCAAGGTGTGTGTGCGCGGTTGGGTTGGGGCTCTGTGCTGAGCTTTTGTGTTCAAGTGCTGTGGGCTGACTTACAGCAGGTGGGGCAGATCTGGCAGGATGAGCAGCACACCCGTATTCCCGAGGTGCATTTGGGAAGACTGTGATCCCCACACGGAGAGGGGGGGAGCAGGGCCATCCCAACAGGAACTTCTGGGCTGCTACTGGGGTTGTCTTGGAAGAGCCTCCTGCCCGATCAGAGAGGGGGAGGGTGTCCTGCCTCCAGAGAAAGGCTTCTCACCTGAGCCCTGTGCCTCTCTGTGTGCCATCCCCCAGGCTGCTGGTCAGCGCCTCCCAGGATGGGAAGCTTATCATCTGGGACAGCTACACCACCAACAAGGTAGAGGTGGTACCTGGGGAGGGGTGGGTGGCAGGGCCCTGGCTGGCTCTGACCCTGAGCACTGCCCCTCCTCCCTAGGTCCACGCCATCCCGCTGCGCTCCTCCTGGGTCATGACCTGTGCCTACGCGCCCTCAGGGAACTTTGTGGCCTGTGGGGGGTTGGACAACATCTGCTCCATCTATAGCCTCAAGACTCGCGAGGGCAATGTCAGGGTCAGCCGGGAGCTGCCTGGCCACACTGGTGAGAGGGCCCTGGCTGGGCACGAGCACTGTCGTGGGGGCCGGAGTTGTGCTGCCCTCTCTGTCTGAACCTGGCTGACCAGCCCCTTTCCCTAGGGTACCTGTCGTGCTGCCGCTTCCTGGATGACAACCAAATCATTACCAGCTCTGGGGATACCACCTGGTGAGTCCCTGCCAGAGCTGGGCAGTCTGGGTGAACCCACACTTCCTGCCTCAGTCCGGGGCCACTCTGTGCTCAGCATGCAGCACACACCCTAGCTTCCCTTTCCTGGAGGGTGCCAAGAGGATGGGGGAGGGATGGGCCCCGTCCCCAACTAAGGCTCTTTGACCTGGGACAAGAGCAGGCTCCTGGGGTCCCGTCCTTAGGTGCTCTGACAGGGCTGGGCCCATGTGGTGGAGGGGATGGGGAGCAGGATTCCGTCCTTCACCCCATCTCTATCTTTTCCTTCCTGTCACCTCTCCAGTGCCCTGTGGGACATTGAGACAGGCCAGCAGACCGTGGGTTTTGCTGGACACAGTGGGGATGTGATGTCCCTGTCACTGGCCCCTGATGGCCGCACCTTTGTGTCGGGTGCCTGTGATGCCTCCATCAAGCTGTGGGACGTGCGGGATTCTATGTGCCGACAGACCTTCATCGGCCATGAATCCGACATCAATGCTGTGGCTGTAAGTTCCAGGGCGAGCCAGGCCAGCCCCTCCTGACGAGGCTCCTGGCCCTGCTCCGTGCCCTCATCCCACCCTGGCCCTGTGTCCTGCAGTTCTTCCCCAATGGCTACGCCTTCACCACTGGCTCTGATGATGCCACGTGCCGCCTTTTTGACCTGCGGGCCGACCAGGAGCTCCTTATGTATTCCCATGACAACATCATCTGTGGCATCACCTCTGTTGCCTTCTCACGCAGTGGCCGGCTGCTGCTTGCTGGCTATGACGACTTCAACTGCAACATCTGGGATGCCATGAAGGGCGACCGTGCAGGTGAGACCAGGGTGCCTGGCAGGGCAGGTAGGGATGGGGAACCCTGGCCAAGTAAGTTCTGAGGTCTGTCTTCCTCACAGGTGTCCTTGCTGGCCATGACAACCGTGTGAGCTGCCTTGGGGTCACTGACGATGGCATGGCTGTGGCCACAGGCTCCTGGGACTCCTTCCTCAAGATCTGGAACTAACTGCCCCAACCCCAGCTGGGCCCAGGCCGGGAGGGGCCCTGCCCACGCCCACACTACAGGCCGGGAGCTTTGGGGCTGGGTACACACCAAGCCTCCTTCCCCAGGCCATGGGGCCTTGGGTCCCTGCTCCCCCACCCAGGTTTGGTTCCTCCCGGGGCCCCCACTGTGGAGATGAAGATGGGATGGAATGGGGGAAGAGGAGGGGGCAGAAGGCCCTCATCCTTTTGCTGCCCTGGGGTCGGGGCCTCACCCCTCTGGAGGGCCAGAGGCAGAAGGTGGAAACTCCAGGGGCTGGCTTTTTTAAAACTGGTTTTATTTTAATTTTTATTATATTTTCAGTTTTTCCATAAAGGAACCAATTCCAACTCTGTACCTGGTCTCCACCCTTGCTTGTGTCTTTCTCGTTCCTGAAGGCAGATTGGGGGGGGGGGCACTCTTCCTCAGAGCAAAGCTGAAGTCCTAGGTAAGGAAGCCTCTGCCCAGCAGGGCCACAGGTGTTCTAGACACAGCCTCCACTGTCCTTGTGCCTGGTTATGCTGCTGACCAGAGCAGCCCCTGCCCTGAGTTAGGTGCTCATCCCTAATGCCCCTTCCCCCAAGTAAAGACAGTAGCTGACTCAGAAAGGGAGAACACACACAAGTTTTATTGGGAGAGAGGAGTATTTACAGGGGCAAGTAAAAGAAAGGGAAGTCACACAGTGAGGAAGATTGTGGGCACAGGGCAGATGAGGGAACACGGAGTGGCCCCTGCACCAACCCCAACCCCAGGAAGGGCAGGGGGCAGCTGGGGCCCAGGAAGACGGGCTGGGGAAGGACAGCAACAGGTCTGAGTCCCTGGGCAGGGGGCTCAGGGGCTTGTAAACATTGACCACTCTCAGAAGGGGATGGGGTGGGAGAGGGCTCCCCCTACACTTCCTCACAGGGTTAAGGCCTCTCCAGGCTCATGGGCCCCCTAAATTCAAAGTCTCTTTAGCTGGGGGAAGGGGCAGGAAGAGACAGGAAGTGTCCCCCCCTCCCCTGCATTGGCTGCGCAGGGGCAGGGGCAGTTACATTCAGTCACAACAGGAGTCTCCCCTACACCTTGGAAACGCCAACACAGATGCGGATGTGCCAACACTGGCGAGAGGGAAGGGGGAGTTGGGGGCCAGCAGCATCAAGACATCCCCGGCCCATTACCCCCTTATTGCTTTAGAGAGAATATTGTCTTTTCACGGATGCTAACACTGTCCAGACCAGGGAGAAACAGGTGGAGGGGCCCTTCCACCTCGAGGCCAGCTTGATTCCCCAACACTGACCCAGTTGCCACTTTGGTGCAAAAAAAAAAAAAAAAAAAAGTCATCTCTCTGGGGACAGATGGGGAAAGAGACAGCTCCTCCCTAGTTCCCCAGGGCAGGAAGGATAAATACATTCATGGAGGGAGGCAGTGGGAGAGTCTCGCCCTAATACTGCACTCTGAGCAATGAGGTCGGTGGGAAGCGTCAGATGAGAAACCCAAAAGATAAAACAAACTACTAAAAAACAAAAAAACGGATAGAGACAAGTCCAGGTAGGGATTAGGACTAAGAAATCAGTGAGCAAGAGAAGGGCAGCCTACTAGCCAGACCGAGGAGACACACACTCCGTTCCTGACCCCAACATCACCCAGCACCGAAAAACGCACCGACGGGGAAGGCCACTCGCTCCTCTCCCATTTGGTCAGCGGCAGGGTCAGGTGCGAAGCCAGGTGGTCCACACCCCATAGCAGGCTATGGGTTAGGGGTGCCCTGGCTGCCCCCCACATTGCAACTCTAAGCCCCAAGGTGCCCACTTCTTGCCCTTCAAGGCCCCTCTTCCTCCCCCGTCACAGGAGAAACGACTCAGTCCAATAAGTGGCGCCTCCTCCCTCCGCAGCTCCTGGAGGAATCATCCCACCCCCACCTCTCGCAGGGGCGAGACAGGGGCTTGTGGCCCAGAGAATACATTCATGTGGCAAGGCAGACAGCTGGGGCTTTCAGGTTCACACCAAGGCGTCCCCCAAAATGGCAGCGGTGGGGGAAGCCCCTCGCCAGGGCCAGAATCAGAGTCCAAGTCCGGCCGCCCCGCCCCGCCAGCCAAATGAGGTTGGCACTGACCCGGCCCTTCCCATCTACCCACAGGCCAGTGCAGGAAGGTAGCCTGGGGGGCTGAGGCGGCTCGTCCAATTTGTGCAACTTTCCCCCAAAGCAGCAAAGCCAAGGGGCTACTTTGGCCCCTACCCCAGACACCTCTGCCATAGTCACAGCAACACGGAGCTGGTCACAGCTGGGCCGGCAGGCTGGGGTCTGCAGGGGTCTCGCTGTGCAAACTGCTAGCGCCCCAGCTTCCAGTTACCTCACAGCCCACCTTCCAGGGGCAGGAGGTAAGTGAGCCTCGGGCCCAGGCAGGACAGGTCCATGGGGCCTGTTGTGCCCACTGCCTCAAAATAACAGTGTGTTTTTCTTTCAGCCTCCTAATCATTTTTTTTCATTATTTTTCAACTTTTTTCTTAAAAAAACAAACAAAAAAAAAATCCAAAAACAAAAACCTTCTGTGGACCTTCCATTGTCACACCCCCCCCCAATCCCCAGAAGGGTAAGGGGTGTTTAGAGTCTAGTTTTTTAACAATATCTTCTGTCTCTCCTAACATTTTCTTCAAAATTAAAAAACAAAACAAAAAAACACAACCCCTTCCCCCCAATCTGTAAAGTGCCTCGTGGTGGGTGAGTTAAGGTGCATCGTGTGGTTTGTAACAAGTGCTGGGGCTGCTGCCCCTGCTTCCTCCTTGGCTCCCTGTGGGGAGCCTGCAGGCTGGGGACCCGAGGGTCCACGCCACTGCTGCCGCCCCTGGCCTACAGCCCAGGGGCTGGGGACGGGCTGGTCAGTAGTCATCCACGCTCTCGATCTCACCAGAAGATCCATGCAGGGAGTACCCTGAAGCCGGGGGAGAAGCTGCGTCTGAGCTGGCTCTCTCAGGCTCCTGCCGCTCTGTGCTGAGCGAGCACAGCCCCTGCCCCTGCCCCGGCCCCAGCTCACCCAGGATGCTGGGGTCTGAGTGCAGCATCAGCGCCCGCCTCTTGGCCTTGCTGCCCTCCCCAGGGCAGAGTTTGGTGCTGTGGTTGGCCTGGAAGGCCGTCTGCAGGGAGGCGCCACTCAGCCACGCCTCCTAAGGCAGCAAAGAGGGTGAGTCAGGGGGGCACTGGGCGCTCACCGCCCACCCCCCACCCCCCCACCGCGTGGGCCCTGCGAGACCTCACCTGCTGCTGCTGCCTTTGCTGGCTGGCTTTCTGCTTGGCCCTCCGCTCCAGGAATTGTTTGGCAAATTCTTTGGCTTCCAGCGTGTCCCCCAGGCAGGAACGGATATAATCATGGACATCATAGGGAGATTCCACCTCCTTGAGGATGGCTACAGCCATGGGCACTGTGGGCCAAGGTGGGGGCTGTCAGGGCCCACCTGGTTCGGGTCTGCAGACCTCAGCCCCAGCCGGCCTCCCCGGTCCACCCACCAGTACCGTCCAGGCTGCCCGTGGTGCTCAGCGTGTGCAGCATCTGCTCGCACCACTGGGTGAAGCCGTCCTGGGGCCGGGGGATGCCCTGCAGCAGCTTCAGCAGCTTCTCTTCTTCCTCGGTCTTTTTGCGAACAGGCCGACCTGCTAGGTGGCTGTAAGAGTCGCTGAGGGGGGCGAATGACTTAGAGGCCAGCTCGGGTGTTCCACCTCCTTCCACCCCCAGCCGCCCTGGAGCCTCCGGGCCCTGCACCCACCTGAGAGATGGGCTGCTCCGGCTATTCTTCAGGCCAAGGCCACGGACCAGGCTCCCGCTGCTCTTGGGGGTGTCCTCCCAGAGCCCCAGGCTGCTGCTGCTGCTGCCCCCACTCTTGTCGGGCCCGCCCCACAGCGGCCCTGCCTCAGATACCCACTGGTTCAGGGGGGCAGTGCCCAGGCCCCCAAGCTGCTGCAGACGGCAGGAAGTCAGGGTGGCCGAAACAAAGCACCCAAGAGAGCTAGGCGGGGAGGTTCACTTGCATGGCAAAGGGATGAGGAGCGAGGTGAGGGGTGTGTGGGAAAGAGATCCCCCAGGATGATGTGAGCAACAGGGCTTGGGTGGAAAAGCCTGGGCTAAAGGGCCACTCCTCCCCATGTCACCCTGGAAATGGACTAGAAAGGGCCTGAGGTTCCCGTCACAGGGAGGGGCCTGGCCTGCTCACCACGCGGTGGTTGGGGGCCTGAGCCCGCGCTGGCTCCCGAGTCGGGGGCTGCTTGTGCAGCTGCCGCTCACCCTCCAGCTGGAGCTCGAGCAGCGTCTTCATGGAGAGGCCCTGCTTGGCCAGGCCAGCCCAGAGCGGGGGCGGGGAGCTGGGTGCAGGGGGCACAGGGACAGCGGCCGCCTGCTGCTGCTGCAGCAGCTTCAACAGCAGTTCCTGCTGCCGCACCTGAACCAGAGGGATATGGTGAGGGTAAGATGGTGAGGCGGCCACAGTGAAGGCAGTCAACCAGAGGACAGGCCGGCACCGACCTGCTTGCGCCGAAACAGTTCCTCTTCCTCCTGTCGCCGCTTCTGCTCCTCCTGCTGCTGCTGGCGGCGCTTCTCCTCCCGGCGCTTCCGCTCCTCCTCCTCCCGCTTCACCCTGAGCTCCACTTCTCTGCGTTCCTGGAACTAAGACCACCGACCTGGTCAGGTGGGGGGGGGCTGGCGGTACTGGCCTCAGGCCCTACCTTGGTCCGGCCCTCCACACCCAGGCACTCAGCCCCTGGATGCCTACTCACTTTATGTTGCAGCTGGAGTTGTTCTAGAATTGGACCCTGAGTCGAAGAGTTAATTGGTATGTCCCAAAGACTGGCCTCACCACCTGCAGGCAGCAAGGGCAGCTTCAGGAGGGAACTTGGGCCCCCCTGGTCCCATCCAGCAGCAGGGCTCCTCAGCCACAAACGGCAGCTGGAGCAGCGTGAAGGTGAGGAACAGGCCAGGGCCCCACACTCCCACAGAAACTGCCCAGGGACGGAGGCTGGCCGGCCACACACCTGACTGTGATGAGGCTGAGGTATGTACGTCCCAGAGGGGGCCTGAATCTGGCACCGACAAGGACCGGCTCATCGTCGGGAGCAGGTTCTGGTCCCCACCTCTGAGGAGCAAATCACTGATTCTCAGGACCCCAATCCATTTCCAGCCCACCCGCCCCCTCCATACATATCTCCAGGGCACACATGCACGGCACTGTGACACACAGCAGCCCACGGACCTGGGGGGTTTGAGAGCCTGGAGCTGCTGCAGAAACGCTGTGAGCTGCTGCTGCTGCGACGGCGACAGGTCCCCCATAGCTGCCTTTTCCCGGAGTGCACACTGCGGGAGCTGGCGGCTGCAGAGATGTAGATAGCACGTGGGGGTGGTGGGCCACATGGAGCCAGTGCCCTGCCCTACTTCCAAGCCCTCCCAGGCCCCTCTGTACCTGCTGACCAGCTGAAGAAACTGCTGGTGCTGCAGCTGCTGGTACAAGGCTGCTGCTGCCAGCTCCTGTTGCTTCTTCAACCGCTCCTGGTCCATGTTTCCCTGCACGAGAGCGAGACCAAGCCCAGTGCACAGGAGGCTCTGCTGGGGTCCCAAGGCTGTGACCTGGCCCTGCCCCACACCCTCACTCCCCATCCATCCATCCATGAAGAGGAGAGGCATGCTCACCAGCAGTGGGGGTGGTGAGGGCCCTGGGGCAAAGGGCACACGACCCCACATCTTGATCACCTCACCCAAAGGCTGGAAGCCCTCGTCACAGCCCCGCTTCACAAGGAGCGACATAGAGAAATAGCCAGCCTGGAACCACTCGGCCATCTCCTGTGTTGTGAAGGGGCCTGGACCAACGAAGTAGAATAAAACCACTCGGGATCAGAGTGTACGCCAAAGACACCCTGAACAACAATGGCCCCCGAATAGCCCTCCCACTCGCCACAAGCACCTTGGATCTCCCCCTGCGGGTCCTTGTAGAACCACTTCCGGGCAGCGCCATGGCTGAGGGGGAGGGCAGTGGCAGCAGCAGAGTGGCGCAGGCCCTGGGTCTGCATGGCAGCCGTGAACTGCTCCTCCTCCAGAGAACTGTCCTGCAGGGAGGCCACCAGCTTCTCCGCCTCCTGAGAGCCCAGGGAAAGAAGTAAGGCTCAGCCTTGCAACATCAGGATGGGGCTGGGGTCAGAGAGTCAGGTCACGGATGAGGCAGCACAGAATCAGGAAAAGTGTGGCTCTCTGTTCCCCGCAGGGAAGGCTCCCTCCAGCTTTCCTGCCTTCCCCACCTGCTGCAGATGCTTCAAGCCTTCATCATCTTCCAGGTCACCAGGTGGGCCAGTGGCGGAGCCCACCCCAGGACTCAGCTGGATTCCCCTCATATCGTCTCCTAGGAGAGAAGGACGCAGGGTGGACGGGGGCACCAGAGGAGACAAGACAGTCCCCAACCCGCCTTCACTCCAGAGTAATGGGCGCTTGCTGTAGCCACCCCCCCAACGCAAGTGCCCTGTGCACCCCTCCCCATGGGAGAGGGTGCTGTCTCCACCAGCCCCAGCCCAGCCCCCACCCTGTCTACCTTCAGCTGCTGGGAGCTCTTTCTCCACAGTTTCGTCACCATCCCCATTTGTCCCCCAGAGTGGACCCAAGGTGGGCAGTGGGGACGGAGAGCTGGACTTCTCCTCCTGAGGAGGCAGTGGGGTCAGCTCCTTCCCACCTGAGAGAGGAGAGTAATGACCAGAATTCAAAACTGAAGAGCCAGGAGGCCTGACACTGAGTCAGCACAAGCCCTCCCTCCACGTGGCCAGAACTTGGGCCTCTGGGCAGCGAGTCCACTCACTCAACTTCGGTCAACTCAGCTAACGTCTGAGAGGGAATGTGGCCAATTTATCACCCCTGACTCTACCGTGCAAACTGACTCTCGCCTCACACCTCAGCATGCAGCATGCACATGTTATGACACTGTAGAGGGCTGTGTACACGACACCAGAGTCAACACCGTGTTCTACAGCTTCTCCAAGGGATTTTCAAAGGTCACTTTGATTGCGCTTGATTTTTTTTTTTTTTTTGAGACAGAGTCTCACTGTGTTGCCCGAGCTAGAGTGCCATGGCGTCATCCTAGCTCACAGCAACCTCACACTCCTGGGCTCAAGCGATCCTCCTGCCTCAGCCTCCCGAGTAGCTGGGACTACAGGCATGCACCACCATGCCCGCCTAATATTTTCTATATATTTTTAGTTGTCCAATTAATTTCTTTCTATTTTTAGTAGAGACGGGGTCTCGCTCTTGCTCAGGCTGGTTTCAAACTCCTGAGCTCAAACAATCCGCCACCTCGGCCTCCCAAAGAGCTAGGATTACAGGCGTGAGCCACCGCGCCCAGCCTGCGCTTGATTTTTATCTGACATGCTGCCTTTAAGACACACCTCTGCTGGTTCTAGGTTCCTCCACACATCTCTCAGCACTTGCTTTCCTAGTGCAGTTCTAGGCAGCCTGACCCTACAGGCAGGCGGGCAGCCAGCACCCAGCTCTCATGCCTCTCCCCCTGCCCACCCTGTGGCTCACCTGCCTCAGGCCGCTCCTCATCCACCCCTTCGGGAGGCTCCTCCTCTTCCTCCTCTAGACCCTGGAAATCGAGCTCCTGCTCCTCAGGAATGGGTTCCTTGGGACCCTTCTGTATGGGTGGGGGGAGGCGATGGGGTCAGAGAACAAATGGGCGAGAGCAGCCCAGCAGGGCAGGTCCCCAACAACCTGACCAAAAGCCTCCCCCTCGCCTCCTCCCAAGTACCTTGAGAGGCAAGAAGGCCCCAGAGGCATCGAAGGTGCCCATTTCTTCATCCTCATCGTCTAGGCACCATTCTGGGAGTCCATCCTTGTCATCATCAAAGCCGTCAGGCCCTCGGCACCTCCGGAGGTGAGAGCTGCCTCCCCCACCCCGCCCATCTTCTTCACCACACCCTCCTCGATCCCCTCGCAAATCAAATTCAAACTTGCGACGCCGGTCCCCATGTTCCCGCCAGCCAGCAGAGCGGGGGCCGCCATCTGGGTAAGAAAAGTCACAGCAGAAAGAGAATCGGTATCCGAGACAAGCCAGAGTCTCTCCTCTGCCACTGTTCACCCCAGGAACCACAGGCATTTCAAGGACTGTGCTCCCAGCTACCCCTGTACCAGTGAGCTTTCTGCTCTCTCTTCATGGCCATGGGAGCCCACCCTCCTGAGACAGTTCCTGCCTCCCACAGCCCCCAAGGATGCCACCTGGCCCAATCTTACCAGGGCTGGCTGAGCGCCAGCGGTCTCCTTCTCGCCGGGGTCCTGCCCCGAGTCTCCAGCTGCCCTCCTCTTCTTCCTCTTGTTCCTCCCGCAGAGAACGCCAGTTCTCACTATCTGAGCGGGCGTGCTCCTTCCTTGGGCCAGCCCCTCCCTCCTCAAACCCGGATCGTGCTGGGTGTGGGGAAAGACACAGCAGAATAGCAGCCACAGCACCTGAAAGACTCTTGCTGACCCTTATTGGTCAGTGAGGAACCCAGCTCCAGGCCCTCCTGCCCCTAATAAACATCCCCCCAACTAAGGCACTCATCTTGGTCCCCCCACTCCCCACCACCATCCTCCGTTCTCCATACCTCCATCCCTTCTTGCCGACTTGTCAAACCGCCTTTCGCCTCTGCAGGAGGAAAGGTATCGGTCAAAAAAAGTACAGCTTTTCCTCCCCACCCTGCAGTATTGCTGCACACCTTCCACTGTGCCCCAAGACTGGGGCGGGGTCGGAGAAGGCAGGGGACAGAGGGAACCAGGGAAAAGTCAGGCTTGGGAGAAGGAAACATAAAGGGACACATGGAAGAGAAGATCACAGGGACAATCAGGTACTAAGAGGTCAGAAGGAAAAGGCCAGGCCCCAGAGCTCTCCTACAAGGGCTTCCCATTGCCTGCTAAGGACAAAGACCAAAGCCTGCTTGCGTGGGCCCCAGCCCACTCTGCCTCTGCCACTGCCACTGCCCTCCAGCCCCACCTGTCATCCCAGCTCTGGCTGCGCTGGATCTCCCGGGGGTTCCGTCCAAAGGCCCCATCACCTTCTTCGATGCTTCTTTGGTAAAAGCAACTGTCGCCACGGCCTCGGCCTAAAGAAGGGATGAGACACAAAGCAGGTTTGAAGCCTGCCAGAACATCTCCTCTCCACGCTCTTGAAACCACAGCCCCAGCTCTGCCCACCCCCAAGCATGTGATCGCCCCTCTACCTCGGCTCCGCGTGCTGCCCCTGCCACGGGAGGTGCCAGCCGGGGGGGGGCCAGCCCCTTTCCCCATCAGCCTCAGCACAGCCACACTGTTCACTGACAGGGAGAAGTTTCTCTGAGGAGGGAGCCAGGGGTGGGAGTGAGGACCTGGGCACCTAATCACCCCCACCCTGCCCAAAATTCCAATCTCCTCACCTGTCCTTCCAGCCCAGCCCCTTTCCTCCCAACCCGAGGTCCTGACCTACAGTCCCCGCTCAGCCCACCTGCTCCTCCTCAGTCAGGGGCTCCAGGGCCAGGGGCTGCAGCGGCTCTTCCTGCAGCACCGCAGCAAACTCCTTGTCCTGTAGCTCTTCAGGGACCTGTCAGATGGGGGCAGGAGGACCAAGACACCAAATGCCGCAGGGTCCTCTTCACTGGCCAAGGCCATAGGGCAACTTAGCCATATACCTCCAAGCCCGCCCACCTACCTTGTTCTCCTTGACATAGAGAGCCAGCATCTCCTCGCGCCCATAGCGGTAGTCAGCCAGCTTGTATTTGGGCATGGCAGGGGAGGGGGGTGGGGAGGCCACACTGCCACCGCTGGAAAGGGCTCTGAGCCTGGAAGAGGAACAGAAGGGAAGGAGAAAGACAGGAGTCAGAGCAGCCCTATTCTTCCCTGGCTTCTCCAAACCAGCCAAAGCACATGTGACTCACCACTCAGGCCCAAAGTTGAGCGTCTCTGCTGCCATTGTGGAGCTGTGTGTGCTTCCTCGAGGTCGGAGGGAACAGGCAGAGCAGGGAGGACCGGCGTTCACGCGCCAAACACCTGTCGGGGCATGGGGGACACAGGGCCTTGGAGAACAGCACACTCAGAGACTTCACAGGGTGAGAGAGAGGTCCTACACCTTGGTGGGCATGGTAATGGGCCTCAGGCTAGTGGGTGGGTCACTTAAGCCTGCCACACAGCCACTTACACTATGGGCTATTAACCAAAGAAAGATAAATTAAGACAAAAAAAGAAGCAGGGATACCAGAGTCCCTTAAAGCCTCTGCAGGGGGCCCCCCTCGGCCTCAGGCTCACCTGGCAGCCTTGGCCCTGGAAAGCTGTAGGGAGAGGGGCAGGCTCTCTTCAGGCAGGGGCCGGTGCTGGAGTGAACTAGGGTCCCCAAGCCACTGGGTTAACGGTCCGGCCTCAGTAGTGCCCAGGAGAGACCTTTACATCTGGGAAAGATCCTTAAGGAGAACAAGGGGAAGAAGATAGGGTGGAGTTAATGGGCTGGTTGGCATCCCTGTCTCCAGCCCACCCCTGTCCCACAGAACTGAAGAGGCCCACAGCTCCTGGTGCACAGCCAGGGCACTAGATGCCACAGGTGTGGCACAGGACATGCCACACATGGTGTCAGGTCATCAGCACCCTGACCCACAGGCTGAGACAGGAAGTGCAGCACAAAATCTGGGAAAGGGGTGGCTGAGGTAAGTATGGACGTTCAGAACAAACGAGCAAGCAAAAAAAACACCACTGGAGCAACAAACATCCCAGAGAAAAAAGGTCAGTTATGGAGAAAAGGATTAGGGATAAATCTAGGAGCAAAATTCCTTCCCTCATGGAAATAATAACGGTTGGCTGCTTGGAGACTAGAGTGCAGGGACTCCGTCTGGGGAGGAACCCAGTGGAAAGGAGCGGAGAGGCCAGTCCAGGGCCAAAGATGGGCACAGGCTGAGGGCTCCGAGCAGGCGGGTCTGGGCTGGCCTACCCAACAGGAAGAAACGCCCAGACCCCTGGCCCCAGATCAACAGCTGCTCAAGTAAAACAGCCAAGATGGGAACAAGGTTCTTACGATAATGGCTGGGAAAAAGGTTCCCTCACCATAGAGTAAAAATAAGGTAGGAGTCACTGAGGCTGACAGAAGAGGAGGTGGTGGCAGCGGCAACCAGTTCCTCTAAGGGACTACGGAGGAGACTCTTGTGAAGAGGCTCATCCCTGGTGGTACCAGGCAGAGGACGAAGGGCGGGCAATGTCCAGGAGCTGCGAGGGCGTCCGTCACTGGCTGGGAAGAAGGCTGGTCCGGCGTGCCCCTGCAGCTCCCATCAACTCCAAGATGCCACAGTCTGGGAGGGAAGAGGAAGAGTGTGCCACCAGAGGGCCCAAGGTGACAGGGTCAATCACCTGCAGCTGAAGCAAAAGCCCAGGACAAACACAGTGCCATCTCAGAGTTCCCCCCTACGTTGAGACGTGGCCCTCAGAGATGACCCAGAGCCAGGCTGAGGTCCCCTGAATGGGCACCTCTACCACAACACCCGTGGCTAGACACCCTACAAAGCCAGCAGCCTTTCACTGAATGCAAGTGGCCCGTGGGGCAGCAAAGAAAGGCTTGTGCTTCCTGCACCACAATCCCAAAGCAAACTGGCACCTGGATGAACCTTGAGGACATGAAGCTAAGTGACATGCGTGTCACGAAAAGACACTACCACATGATTCCTCTCACCCAAAGTCCCTAGAGCAGTCAAATGCACAGAGACAGAAAGTGGCCAGCGGCTGCAGGACTGGGGGGTAGTGGGAGCCGCTGCTGGATGGGCCAGAGCTTCAGGGGAGGAAGATGGGAAAGTTCTGCAGACGCTGGTGGTAACGGCTGTACGACAACGTGAACGTGCTTAAAGCCACAGAACTGCACACTTAGAAACGGTCAAAGTGGCACATTTTATGTCATATGTATTTTACCACAATAATTTTTTTAAAAAAGCTTTAGGGAAAAAAGTTATCTGGGGATAACTACTGCATACCTACGTTTTCCCCACTCCAAGAAAAACACCCCACATTCCTTCAAACAGGCCTCAGGAGAGGCAGTTTTGAGTCTCCTCCAGTTCATTCCTTCCAGAAGGACAGAAACTAGTCCTGGGGGCATGGAAGGATTGCTGGGTGGGAGAGAGGAGAACAGAAAAAGAGATCACCCCACCCTCCCACCTGCAGGAGTGCCACCAGATCCTTGGTGCCACCAGGTCCTGGCAGAGGGAAAGGCAGGTGGGGAGAAGAGGCAGAGGGCAGGAGAAAGCCCATGCCAAGCACGTTCCTGGGGAGAAACCAGGAGAATGAGGTTAAGTCTCTGGGCCCCACCAGAGAAGGGGCTGGTACCAGAAGCTGGGGGCTGCCCGGCCCCTTCCTGGAATGCAAGGAACCAGTGCTGCAGCTGCAGCCGCCCAGTGCATGCATGGGCCCCACGTGCTGCCTCGAAGCCCGTGGTTCTCAACTGAGGACCCCTCTGCTCCCTGGGGGACTTTTGGCAATGTCTAGAGACGTTCTGGGCTGTCACAAATGAGCAGAGGGTTCTACTGGCATCAAGGGGCTAGAAGCCAGGGATGCCACTCAACACCCTATCAGGCACAGGGCAGTCCCCACAACAAAAAGTTCCCCTGCCCTAAACGTCAATAGTGCCAGCGCCGAGAAGCCTCCTCTACGCCACAAGCACGGGGGTGAATGGAAGACAAGACAAACCACATTTGTGCCTCTGAACAGCAGGGAAATCATTCCCTAATTACACTGTCCCATGAGAGAAATCTGAAATCCTGCCAGGAGGGAAATCCTTGAGAAAAGAATGGACTTTTTTAAAAAAAAACTACCCTAAATTTGTCTATCACAAAGTCTCAAAGCCAAGAGTTTGGATCCCTTTCCAATGAAGGAGAAAGGGGGAGAGGTGGCGAGAGCCCAGGGATGGCAGCCTGTCCTGCCTTCCCTTCCCCTGGCTGCCTGGGCTAAGGGTCTCCTCCTTGCGGGCCCCTTCCAGCCCATCCCTGTCCCTCAGCCTACCTCAGCTATTCCTTCCCTCCCCAACCCTTCTCCTTCTCTGGCCTCAGTCTACCTGACTCCCCCAGTACCTGCATTATTCCTATTAAAAGGCTGCCCCCTGCCGGAGACAAGGGGCAAGGACACACTGGGCCTGGGTGCTCCCAACAGGCTGGAGGGCACTAAAAGGGAGCTAGTGCTCCGGGGTTCAGAACTCCCTAGAGGAGGAAAGATACTGGTGATATGCGGTCCCAGTACACGCTAAGTTAAGAACATTATCTCCTCGCCCCATCTTCCCTAAAATTAGCCCCAATCCGCAGCAATGTGCCTTGGCATAAAACCTGTACCACTATTAACAGAAGCCGAGTCCCAAATTACCCAACATTTGGAGCAACCGCCCAGCCCCAAGCCTGTTGGAGGTGACTTGGCCCTTTCTCAGGATGGCAAGATTCTCCGTGCGTGGTAGAGTGAGGACTCTGAAGCTTAAAAAAAGAGATGCAAACCCGAGCTCCCCGCCGGCTCGTCAGTTATCCCAGCTCTCTACTCTCTGAGACATCACGGCAAATAACACCACCACTTGGCAATTGCACACAAATTAACAGTTTTCAAAGCTCTTCCACACTTTACCTCATTTGATCCCTTTTGCCCACCTGCCCAGCCTTGGGGCTCAAGCCAAGGAAAACAAGGAAGGGAGGCTGCAGCTTCCCCTACAGGGTACCCCTAAGTCCTCAACACTCTAGCCAAGACTGAAGGCATGGTGGCAGTAGCCATCCCAAACTCTCAAGCATGCTTCCTGAGTTTAAAAGCATTTTTAATTTCCTGACCCTTTTTAAATCGCTCCCATAGCCTCTTCTCACCTCTCTCTTCTAAAGTGGGGCTTTTTCTAGCCCAAACTCCAACCACAGATGTAAAAGTGAGGGCAAACTTCTAACAAATCCCATACAATACTAACGTGTCCACTGGCAGAAAAAGCTAGTCCAGAAGTCTAAGCACACGATTCACTTAACTGTAATCACCATATGGGGCCCTAAAGGCCCCTGGTCCCCGAGCAATGGCAGAACACAAAGTCCAGGTCTGCCCCAAATCCTCCCCAATGACACAACAGATCACTGGAAGACCAAGACCTACATTCTAGGAAATAAAACTGGAGCTGGGATGGAGGGTGGCTGGGGCTAGAAAGGGAACAGTGGAGATGGGAAGGAGCCAGAGACCAAACTCCCACTCGCAGACAGGAAAGGAGAGCAGCTTATTGGCGGTGATGGTGTTTCAGTGGCAAAGGCAAGGGGGTGGGGGGCTAAGGAGAAACTGCTGTCAGCTCAAGGGGCAGTGGAGAGGGTGCGTGGAGGCTGACGATTTTTGCGAGAGCAGCACTTTGAGGCAGGAGGGAGTAAGACTGGGTGGGTGGAAGAAAGATCTGGCCAACAAGTATTTATGTAGCATCTCCCAGAGTCGAGCACTAGGATGGAAAAGACCTGGAAGCTGACTAGGAATTCCAGCAGCCACTGCGAAAGAGGGGAGACACGAGGGTCTCTTTAAAGTTACTTTAAAAAAAAAAAAAAAAGGCAAAGTGTGAGGGGCTATAGCTAGGGAGCTGCTCCATCAGGGGACGTAAGCTAGGAAGGGCCTGGCCTGGTGACAGGTAAGCCAAGTAGTCCCTGCTAAGGAAGGTGTTTAACGCAACCGAGCAACCAGGAGAGAGCAGACCCCAATGACCAAGCACTAAGGTCACCGGCTGAAAGAAAACGTAGGTGAAGAAGCAGGAGAGGTGCCTGGGTGGAAGAGAAGGCTTCCATGTTGGCCAAAGTCGTGGAACGCTTGGACTTGGAGACCCGCAAGGCCCAGCTCATTCCGGTAAGAACCCAGCGGCACGTTGGGGAAACCTCCCGGGAGCGCGGGGCGCACAGCAGGGGCCGGAGCGGCCGGGAGGGGCCCTGGGCAGGGTTTCGCGGGGGCCCGGGGGCGTCCGTCAGGAGCGCGGGAGTGGGAAGGCGGCGGAGGCCGGGCCCGGAGGACGGCGTGCCCTTCAGGGAGGGGCGCCAGGTGCGCGGGGAGCGGGCGGAGGACGAAAGCACCCGAATGTGGAGCCGGCCTCCCGGGGCCGCGCTGAGGCTGGCCCGCTCCGGGGGAGGGTCCGGCGGCGGGGAGGGGCCGGAGGGCGGGCGCACCGGGCAGCGGCGGCCTCGGGGAGGAGACGGGGGAGGGTCCTTGCCGGCGGCCCGTGCGCTGCTGGCTCCTGCGCTCGCAGGCTCGGCGCGGCCGGCGCGGCCGCCGCGGCGTCGGGGGCGGGCCTGCTCGGGGCCCGGCTGGGGCTGGGGTCCGCGGGTCCGCCGAGCGCTTACCGTGGGCAGGCGGGCGGCGCGAGGGTCCGGTCCCGGGGCGTTGGCGACGCGCGGCGGGCGGCGGCGGCGGGCGTCGCGTGGCGGGCCGGGGGGCGGCGGCGGCGGCGACGGCGGGGGAGGGGGCGCTGGCGCTCCCGCGGCGGCCGCTCCTCTCTGTTTGTGTTTGTAGCAAGATGGCTGCCCGCCTCGCACCACGTGACGCGGACGCGGGGCCGCCCCCTCCGCCGCTGCCGCCGCCGCCGCCTCCTCCCTCCGCGACTCCGGCCCGCTCGGACCCCCACGGCCTCGCCCGGCCTCGCCTCGCGCCACGTCCAGCGTGCCCAACGGGGCGCGGCCCGGACGCCCGCCGCCCCCGGACCCCCCGGCACGTGACCCGAGCGCCGGGCTCTTCACGTGACGCGGGGCCCTCTTAGGCCCGGGGGTAGTCCCCGGGGTGCTCTCTGAGCTCCCCTTGTGCCCCCCGGCACGTGACGCGTGACCCTCCGGGCGAAGGCCTCGCCGGCCTCTTCTAGTCAGTCGGCTTCCTCCAGGAAGCCTGCCTGGATTGAAGGAGACAAAATCCAGAACCATTCATCAGTCGTCCTGGGACATACTAAATAAGTAGCCACCTGATGGTTTAGAGACAGTCCAAGGCAGCAGTGACTAGTGAGACCTGTAGTGTATATCTAGCGCCCACCAGTGACTAGACCTTGGGCGAATGAGTTAACTCTTAGGAGCCTCAGTTTATCTTATGGAAGGTGTTAATGCTACCGTTCTGTGGCTCTGCGCCCAATCCCCAACCCCCACTCTTTAACTCCTTTCAGGGAGTGATGTAAGAATTAAAATAAGTGAATGTGAAAGGATTTAGAAAGAGAGAAACACTATGCAAATGTGAGACGTAGACTGAAACCTCTTTTGTTTAAAAAAGGGTTTTTCAAGAGTGATTTTTGCGACTCGCTGAACTTTTCAGGATGCAAGAGTCCTGTGTGTGCTTTCACC